TATAGACGAAAGAATTTAAAATTGCTTGAACACACTTGTAAAATTGTCTGAAATATATCATTTTGTCTTGATGATCAATAAATAGTGATATGATAAATGATGAAATGAATCTGCATGCCTCATTTCACTATTTATTATTTATACGACTATTTATTAAACGTCAGGGGAAAGGAATATGTTTTGCACAATTTTACAAGTATGCTGAAGCAGTCTCAAGTATTCTTTCATATTTATCTTTATTTAGAAATGGCATGCAACTTTCGTCAGCATGTCATATCATCTCTGAAGATAAGCGTTATTTAAAAGAGAGAAAGTAAATTGAGTAATCGCTTTTCTTAGTAGTGAAATGATATTTTTCTATGTGTATACGGGAGTTATTAATTTACATTCCGCCTGTTTCTCCGTGGAAATAGTAGTTTGTTGATAATGAATTTGTGCAGTTATTCAAATAACGCTGTCATACGCGAGATACGCGAGTGTAGAGCTGGGCATATTTATGTGCTCGAACGAAATGTACATTCGTGTATTCTTTAGCGTACATAGTTATGACAGCGAAAAACGCGTAATATTTAATCGAAATATTATTACACTCACCGCATGATTGAATTGTTTACTCTGTTTTTGCCGACCAGCCTATTACCCCAGATATTTTCTCCCGTAAGCGTTCGAATGCTCCGTAATTTTATAATTTTTTATTTTTAGAATTTATTGTAAATGGGCAGGAATTTATTTTTTGATTATTAATGTTGTTATCGTTGTTGCGGTACAGTCGGTCTCGCTCTCAAAATTACTACCCGCATGAATTTTAATATTCGTTGCGCGCACGTTTTGCGCACGCCGTAAAATTTTATCTTGCACTGAACAGTTCGCAATTGCAGTCTCGTTTCGAGCGGACAACAAATCGCTCCGTTATTACAACGTCGGCGAAGCATTAAATTCATCTGGAGAGTTTAACGACGCCCGAATTAGACTACGTTATCGAATATCGCCGTTTAATTTTCTATTCGCGCGTCGCGACGCAAGCACAATAATTCAGCGAGTCGCTGAAAGCGGGACGATAAATTGCACGATTACGATTACGGCAATATGCGGGATAGAGAGCGCCGGGATTATACGCGAGACACAGACACCCGTGCCGCTCATCCGTCTTCCGCAAACAAAAACAACGGGCGTGCAAGTTCGCGCGTATTACCACCCTGACCTGTCGCTTCCCCCTTTTCCCCTTTCCCACTGCGCTTATCCATCTTGCTTCCGTCGTTCCCTGATGTCGCTTCCGCTCTTTTCGAAGGGGGTCTCTAATCCGCGATATTCGTCAGCGAGTTCTGCGCACAGAGTATCAATTTGCGACGATCGATTACGAATTTACTAGCACTACACAAAGTCTAATTACGCCGGGTGTACTTGGAATCGCATTTATTGCGTACAACGTAAATTTCACATCTCAATATTTTAATCTGAAATATTTCATATTACGTTCATATATAATTATTTACGCATTGTATGATTAGCCAATTTTAAAGTCTACACGAAAATAATTCTTTAGAGTTTCTTTTTTCATATAAAATCTTTTCAATTTTTTTATATTTTTAATAGTGCAGGAATAGAATGTCAATAAAATCTATTTTATTAAGAAACACAGTAAATTTTGTTATAGTAAATTTTTTAATAGCACATTTCAGTTCTTACTCTATAAATTTCTAGGAGTGTATTTTTATTTTTACTTAAAAAGTAGATTGGCCATCGAGTCACTCGTTATATTTAAATTTGTTACAATAACAAAACAGACGTAAGCGGAAAGCAAGTATTGGTAAATTTAAAATGAGACTTGTTGTTCAAGATTCATTATACGAGATACACAACATTAACTCCGGAAATATTCACTAGATTCTAAATATTTCGAGTCGGATATATATTTCCTTATTCTCATTAAATTCGTCTCAAACCTCCTGTATAATAAATTATTTAATACATACTTGCGAAAATATACGATATATTGTTTGTTGTCCCAGCATCCTGCGCTCTATCTTAACATCTTCTGATTCAGCAGCTTTCTAGCAAGTTGCGTGTAGCTCGTATTTGCCGTGCTTCAATCGATCACAACACTCGACTCGTTCAAATAAATAAAGAAAGTGCACTATAGACGCGTGTGGGACGCGTGTCGAAGAAATTTCTTTTTAATTAATATCGCTACATCGATTTATTCGCGTGTTATAGCTGTTTTAAGTCGCGACACCAATACGGTTCTAACGCGACACAGATATTTGCTTTCACACCGGCACACGCTATAGCTCGCTTCTATAGTGAGCGCGACTGGCCGCGACGAGCGCGCGATTGCGACTGAGCGGCGGGGAGTGGGGAGGTGGGGCAGAGAGTGGGGGTAGCGCGCCGGGCTCTGTTACGTACTACAGTCGCGTACAGCGTAAGGTGACTCTTTGTTCCATTCACGCGTCGCGCTCTGACTCATTCACAGCGCGCTGTAGTGATAACGCCGGCCGACTGAAAACGCGGACCAATACAATCGTTATAACTCCACTTGTAGACGTCGTAGAGACTTGAAACAAAGATCATTGGAAAGGGAAAATTATCGCGCTCCCGATGGACATAAAATGGTTGTTCTGTGGTATAAGAATAATGTAAGTATGAAAAACATTGGTTCTTATGTTTGCGTTAATGCGGAAAAAGAGGATACATTTGTCATTTTTTAAATACATTACACATATATACGTCATAAATATAAAGACGTATATAATAAATATAACAAATGTAATAAATATACAATATAAATATATTAATATTTTTATATCTCATGTAAAAACATGTAGTATATATACAGAGATGTAAAAATAATTACAATAATTTTGATTTCTTTATTAACATTCTTTAATTATCCTTCTCAATAAATGCCTAATTTCAGGAAATACCAAATATTCTCTTCATGTATTTTTTTCGACAATAGTATTCTACGATATACGCAACTTGTAACAGCAGATCCACTTACGGCACATGCGCAAGAAAGCGTTCTTGCAACCCACGCTACACTAGACTCAACATTCGGAGGGCGAATTTTGGAAGTTAAAAAGCATCTTAAAAATTTTTTTGAAAATTATTGAAGGAACATAGGAACGTTTATCAAAACTGTGCTCTAGAGACTATTACTAAACGAAATACGTATATACGAAACCATTTTCGGATAATCATACTTCGGAACAAAAATTAAGGATTTTGAGAGAATTACTGAGACAACACTAAAACATTCTCTCAAAGTGTTCTTTCGGCAATAATATACCCTACGACATACACAACTTGAGGCATCACAGGTCCACTTACCCCACATGCGCAAATACCATTGCACATATGCGAAGATGCGGCTTTATTACCAACGCTACGTTGATCCAACCTTCCTAGTGTGACTTTTGCAAATTGAAAAATTATTTTAAAGATTCTGGGCATGTTTTTAAGAGAGTAGAGGTATATACATTCAAACTGTGTCCCAGAGATAGTGCTGAGCGATATACGTATACTTGACACCATTTTCGACAAATATACATCTGAAAGTTAGAAAATTACTGTAAAATTTTTTTTTAATTTGTCAAGCGAGCAGAAAAATTACTGGCAACGTAAAAACATTCTGTGAAAGTGTTCTATCGGCAATAGTACTTTACGACATACCTAACTTAATGTAGCCGATTCACTTACGGTACATGTGCAGGATAAATCCCACTGCGCATACACGTGAAAGGGTTCTTGCCATCAACATTGCATTAGATCCCATATTCGGTGGGTGACTTTTGGAAACTGGAAAGCAATTTTAAATTTCCGTGAAATTTATTGAGTGGACAGAAGGACGTTTATCCAAATTGTGCTTTTGGCGATGGTATTAAACCAGGTGTGTTCAAAATCATTTTCGATATTTATATTTCAGAACGAAAATTATTTCAAAGATTTTGTAAAAATTACTGAGACCACAAAAAAACATTCGGTAAAACTTTAAAAAAACTTAGTCAGTCAAATTATTCTAATAATTTTTGCGGAATGTCTGACGATATAGGGAGAAATGCTCATATGTATATTTGTAAATTAGGTTAAAGTGAATATAAAATTCTTCTATCATTTTATGTATCATAATGACATACATTTTCAGTCGCCAATCTCTCTTTTTTAATTAATAACCTATAAATCTTCGTAATTGTTTGCAAAATGGTAGATGAATTTTATATTCAGTTTCACCTGGTCTAAATACACGAGCGTTTATATTAGAAGCTTTACATAACGCTCTACTTCGAGATTCTCTATTGAACTTTCGAATCTGACGGAAATATGCAGATTTAATGTAGAATCAAAATAATTTCGACTCTCGGGATATAATATATCAATATGTTTCCTTGCGTTCCTGCCGTTCAAGCGATATTTAACAAATCAAAATATGTTACTATTAGTATATTTGACAGCATTATAGTTGTATTGTAATTATAATTATTAGGTTTTAACGATGAGTAACCCCATATACGACGTGCCGGAATACGATAATTGTTATTGAAACGTAAACTGAATCATTTAATATTATAATACAGCGCATAATATTAATATATTTTAATATGGCGCGTGTAAGTTAAATACACACATATACACACACACGGTAAATCACGTGACTTTGTTTTGGAATCAAATTGACGCGTCAAAGGTGTGGCGGCTTTCAAAATGACAACAAACGCGTGCGTATGCGGCACGCTCGCGATCATAACAGTCTCGACGCGGAGATAAACACATCGCGCGACGTCACTCGCTATTCACTGTTGTATCGAGGTGAACGAATTAACATAGTAACGGCTTATAATATCTGCGCCGCGATTATAACCCGCTAGAAGCATCGCATCATTTCTAAAAGTAATTACTATGTCTTATTTTCGTTGAATTTCAAAAGAAAATATGGAAACCTTAACTTATCGCGATCGAACAGTCTATTTAATATTGCCTAATCAGGAAAACTGTTATGGTTTTAGACTCGACGGACGGGGCTGCAGTTACGGTGAATCCTGACCGGAGGACCTGATTCGGGCCAGGTAGGGTTGGCTCGAAAATATGTTGATAAACATTTCGTATATTTTTTTTGTTTATTTCTCTATAATTAAAAATTAAGATCGCAATTTGACAAGTTATCTGAATGATTCATATTGCGACCGCGATTGTCTAAACTATTCGTATTTATATTGGACATTTTTTGTATTATGAATTTGTTCGTTAAACTGCATTACTGAATCTAATTGATTTTTGAAGTGAAATGATTTTTCTGTTTCAGATTTTTAAACAGCAGAACGTGGCCGGCCCTAACTGCAAGTCATTTTGGTGAGTGAAAGAAATGAATACATATTGATATTTGAGGTGATGGGTTTGATATCAGAATATCATTATGAAATCAGTGCGATTTATTCTGCATGTAAATTTGAACTTTTGATATCTTCATGGAAAAAAGGATTTGTTTCAGCAGCAAACTAATTTGCTACATACGGATAGTTAAACATAATTCGTTGTGTTAGCTACTTTTTCTTTACTGCAGGAACGTTTTTCTTGCTATGATAACAAAAAAATTTGGTCCTATAATAAGAAAAGTAGTTAACGCAACAAATTTGCTATAGATGAATAACTAAACATAATTTACTGCTTTAGCTACTTTTTTTGTAACAGGAGCAGATTTTCTTGTTATCTTAGCAAAGAAATTGGCTCTTGCAGCAAAGAAAAAGTGGCTAATATAGCAAATTTTGTTTGTCGATATGTAACAAATCTTTTTTCTGTGTTTTTTAGAATATATATGCAATACTACATATGTGTATATTTATACATATATATACTGATACATACATATTATATACTTGTGCTCACGGAATTTGCGATAATATCTTTGCATTAACAGCTTTCGCGTTTTCGTCATTACTTTTATAAACTTTCAATTTCAATTTCTTATAATTATATATTTGCGTTATAAAGAGATATGAATCTTGTTAAAGTCAAATCCATGAAAGCCACTTCGTTCAAATTTTTACGGATTTATTTTTCAACTAGAATTTTCGGAACTGGAATTTTGTATTTTAATAAGTATAGTTAATCGCAGAATAAGATATCTTTTTCGTTTCTGATTTTGCAATGCGATCCTCACCTTATGATTTTTTTTTCAATCTTGTTTCGAGTCTCGCGAACACATTTCGTAACTATCGGAATTTATTGCCTTGCAATAAATATACAGTAAGAAAATTTACAAACTCCAATTTTAGAACAAGATTTGACCATATGCGTATTTTCATTATTAGTCATGATCACAATTCATGAAATATTGATTCAGGTAAATTTTTTTTTGAACATTGTGAAAAGAGGATTCTATAAAAACTCGTGAGTGTGCAATTTCAACGCTTAGGTAATATTAGTAATATGCATAAAATCGTACATCGCACAGATTTCCACCGAAAAAAGTAAGGATAATGATACTATTTAAACATATCGTGAACATCTTTGGATAATTTCCGAATTACACAAAACAATTATTACCCGATTATTCAAATCCTTGCTAATAACACTATCTATTACTTTTTTCGGCTGGTTTTATTCAATCTTTTGGCATACGTTGCGTACTCATACGCATTACTCGCATATACATATGCAATTGCGTGTCAGCGACACGATATGACTATTGAGTTCCCATTATTACGGTTTTCATTAAAACGCGTCTTTTTCCGACCCCTCATACGCGATGTCGTCGCAATTTCGAGTTTAAGCGATCCCCACACTTGCCATATCGCAAGCACACATAACATGTCTTAAACTCAACTTCTGTACTATTTACAACATAAAGTTGAATCGAGAAAATAAACACAAATGTCTTTCATAATTGACATTTGAATCATAAAATTTCATATATACAGGGTGTCCCAGAACAATCTCCGAAGCTCTCGTGAAGTATAATAATATGAATAATAAGAATAATGCGGATTAAAGTAAACATAAAAATCCCGTAGCGTTTTGCGATATTCACAATAATTATCGAGATATTAATTAAAGAAGATTTATGAATAATCATACAAGAGAGATATATAGATGAGCTGTAGTGGCGACATCTATTATCGTGTGCTTGTATATTAGGTAAAAAAACTGAACAATAAAATCCTCTGCCTTTTTCCTAATAACTTGTAGATTTTTAATTGTTAAATAGAACACTAATATATTATTGCGAACAAACATTCCCCATCAATTTTCTCTAATTAACAATTAAAAATCTACAAAATTATTAAGAAAATGGTAAAGAACTTTTTTGTTCAGTTTGACTTAATGTAAAAACACACACGATGGCAGACGTCGCTACCATAGTTGATCTACCATATACATATATGTATTTGTGATTATTCACAAATCTTCTTTAATTAATATCTCGATAATTATTGCGAATATCACAAAACGATACAGGACTTTTGTTCACCTATATCCGTACTATATCTCCACGAGAGCTTCGAAGGTTGTTCTGTACAGACATCTTATATGCGATATATAATCTAAAATCATCTCAAAACAAAATAACGACTTGAAGCTTAAATTATGCAATTTTTTATCGTGTATCTCCTGTATATACATATATATAATACATGTATATACATATATATAATCCTTATTCAACTGTGTAGATTGTGAAACGCCCTTAACGTTTCTCTCGGCTTATGAAGAGCGAGCCTTAACGCGCTTTTTTCATTCACGCCGGCCGGTTGCACGCAGCGGCCGAATTGTAGTCCGCGCGATTTATTAAAAGCGAGGAAGCTGCCACTGTATATAAAATTAATCCGCCGTTCGCATAGTCCTCGAAATATCCGTTATTACGGCCCTTTGAGGCCGCTCGTGCGAGCTATCGCAATAAATCGCGCGTTCCGCGGACGGCCGCGAATGAGCCGGATAAATTATTCCGCCGACTTTTCGCTTCCGGTATTTACGAAGCTCCGTTTCCCCTTTCTCCCTTCCCCCGTGTGCTGCCCGCCATGTTTGCCCGCTTATTCCGTGCTTTTCCGTTACGTATTTTCGCGTGCCGCCTAATTAAACGTGTTTTCCGTACGTTCCCTTTGGGCATGCATCGCGCATTCCATCGTCGCGAAAAAACGGACGGACTTTAGCATACAAATTATATAAAATTATATGTCTGTACAGTAAGCATTGTACATAGACCTTCTAAAAAAATATATATAAATTTAGAAAATTCAAGAGAACATGCACGCAGAAAAATATTATTCTATTGCTAAAAAAGCGATTACACAGTTTACTTTTACGATTACTTTTACGATTACTTTTACGATTACTTTTCTTCTTTAAGTAATGGTTATCTTTAACTATGAATATTTCCTCGATATAGTTTTAAAATATACTCATTATAAATTCTAGAAAAGCTTCTTATTATCATATCGTATCATATAAGCAATAGGAGAATTTGTGTTTTTCTTATAAAGATATTACATAAAACTTTATTGAAAGAAAAGGCTCGATTCTATGTAGCAAACAAACTGAATTTTTTTTCTTAATTTAATATGCTCTCTTGATTGAAGTACAATATTATTATACTAGGAGTCCTAATTGAATTACGCTTACTAGGATTCATAATATATTTTGAGAAAAGATACTTATGACGAACTATAAGAATGATTAAAGTATGATGAATGCAGTATATATTTTTCTGTGTGTAAAACTCTGTAAATCTAAAAAAATTACGAATCTAGGAACCTAAGAAATTGAAAATCCGAGAATAGCGCGATTTATAATTTGAGGATCTTCTAACTTCTTTATTTGAACACATTTTAGTTTACCTTTTTTCTACAGACTTTGTGCAATTGAAAAATTTCTTCATGAATGCTTTACGAACATTTTGTTCGTTGTTTAAGAGTACTGCTTGTCGATTGACATTTATCTAACAACACACGCGAAAAATGAATTAGTGTTAGCGCGATAACTTAAAGGCACCCAGCAGCAAACGTCGAATCCGAATATCATTTCCAGAAAATCCCTTGCGATTGCCGCACCGTCTAATTATTTCTCATCAACGCGCCACGGTATGTACGGTAGGCCAGGCAAAATACCGTCCGCGAAGCGCATAATTTCGGCGGGAGGTTGCTGCTCTTAACGGGCGCATCTCTCCGGGTTACTCATTCGCGTTCTGCATCCCTTCGCCTTACTCTGGGTATCGTCTTTCCGTTTTTCAAGGATCATAGTGATAACGCGCGGGCCTCCGATTCGCATTAACGCGTATTACACGAATCGGCCGCAATTGTAGAATTTTCGTCCGCGCCGAGCCGTTTTTGCGTGACTCTCCGCGTACGCAATCGCGCAATCAAAGACACGCTGATTCGATGTTTCGCACTTGTTCCTTTTCTGGTGTATACACACGGCGTCATGGATGCCCGATCATTTACTAGATTGAGAGTTATACAGTTTTCAATCTTACACATCATACCACAGACTTCTATATACTACTAAACTGCTAACTCCCTTACATCTGAGGCCAAAAATGACGGCCATTTTTGTTAAGATATTCCATATATTCACGTACTAATTTTGCCTTAACAAAGATGGCTGCCCCTATTCACACTACGTTAAAATTTTCCCCCACTTTTCTACAGGCCGACCACACGCAAAAAAAGAACTAGCTTCCAGAGCTAAAAAAATAACTGTGGCAGATAAGATGTGTCACTGAAATAGGGGCAGCTAATGTCGATACTACCGAAGCTAAATTTATTCGCTGTTTAAACTTAGGCATTACGGCGAGAAATATTAGCTGCTAGAAACAAATGACTGTAGCAAATAATTGTAACTGTGCGGCAAACTTCTTTAATATATGCATACGATAAGAAATTTAGGAATAACTGCCATTTTCTTAGCTATTTGAAATAATGTGCATTTTTAATGTCATCTAATATATTTGTATTCATAGCAAATACATTTTAGCTGTCATAGCCAATTCTTAGCAGTGACAGCTAAACGATTAGCCTTTTGACTAAGTTTAAATCAGCTACCGCCATTTAGCTGATATTATTAAGTCATTTTTTGCGTGCATAGGGAGTTAGCAGTCTAGTAGTATATAGAAATCTATGCATAATACTCTTGAAATTGAAAATCGTAACTCTGATTATATGATTATAATGATAGATGAGCTGTAATAGCGACATCTGTCCTCATATGCTTGTACATTAAGCCAAACTGAATAAAAAAGTCCTCTACTTTTTTTCCTAATAACTTGTAGATTTTTAATTATTAACTAAAGATTTGCGGATGATCGCTCGCGATATATTAATGTTATTTAATTAATAATTAAAAATCTACAAAGTTGTTAGGAAAATGGTACAGAACTTTTTTTGCTCAGTTTGACCTAAAGTGCAAGCACACGATGGTTGAGCGTTGCCAC